TTTGCCATCCCAAGCTCCAGCTGCTCGTCTTCTGCAGAAGTGATGATTCTTAAGAGATAAGTCTTTTTTTTTTTTTTTTTTTATTGAAGAGATGTTTACATCTTCCCACACCTGCAGCCAACCTCTTTATTAGCTGCTTTTTTCTTGGAGCATTTCTCAGTTACCCAATCGGCGCGTATCACTGAACCCTCCCTGTCCCCCATCAGCCCCACTTTGCCTCTTCTCCCTTCCCATTGCTAACGTACCCCTCTTCCCATCTGAATCTTTCCCTCCTTACATGCAGTCCCCCCCCACCCCATCCAATGGAGGTCAGCCCGGTCTGTTTCAGCTGTGAGAAGCAACAGAGGTGGTGGGAGGGAAGGTGAGCCGCTGCGGTCGGCTGTCTGTTATGTGCTGGACTAAGAAGAGAAGAGGGGAGGGAGAGGAGAGGCAGAGCGAGGGAGGACGGTGCAATAGAGAGAGAGCAGGAGCGGCGGGATAGAAGCAGAGCGAGAACCAGAGAAGAGAGAGAGGGGGGGGTCCGGCGCTCACAGCTCGTATCGCTGGCTGGCTCGCCTGCTCGCTGTTGACGAATGAGCTGTCTACCCACAGGGCTGGGAAACGGCAGCTTGTGACAAGCTGGGGGAGAGAGGAACATGAATGTAATGCGCACCTTGCCTCGTTTGCTTTCAGATACTGGCCAGAAGAAGACTCCAGAGAAGAAGGATGGGAGGCGCATGTCGTTCCAGAGACCCAAAGGGACCGTGGAATATTCTGTGAGTGAACGTGGATGAAACTGTGTTTTCTTGTGCTTTTCTGCTCTGCTCCCTGCGCAGCTGCCAGCGCTGGTTTCTGACGCTTTGACCAGCTCCAGCGGGGTTAAAGACGTAGCAGGTGTTGTGTAGATACCCTCTGGTCATGCTTCACAGATCACTACTAATGAGTAGAAGTATTTTGTAGCCTGACACGTGTACCTCATTCCTGAACTGTTTACATAAAGAGGCGTGTGTAAACAAGCATGCAGCGCAGCTTTCAGTTTATTTTCAGATCATGTCAGCATCCTGTCAAGGATCGTCTATCTGGCAAATTCAGCGCTCATCTCCATTTTGCATGTTGTTGTATTTGAAGGAAAGGAGGAATTGTGACAGCTGTGTTGGGTCTTCCAGCTGGAGCGGAGCGGGACGCGCAGGAAGGAGCGCTGGCAGGACGTGTATTTGTTTTTCCACTCGTTCCCCGCGCAGCAGATCAGCAAACATTCCACCACATAGCTCGCCTGGTCTCACCAATGACCTTCCAACTGCATTGTCATTTCTATTGATTTAGCTGTTGTGTGGCAAAGGGGGAGGGGGCGGGAGAGAGGGGTGAGCAAGGGGAAGAGAGAGAGGACTCCTTTTCCCAGGCATGAACTGAAAACAGCTCTCTGCTTTGCCTTGCCTGCTTGTGTTCTTCAAATGACCCTCAAATCTAGCTGCAGTCAGTCAGTGCTTTCTCACCTCTTTTTCTCCGTGGCAACCGCAAAGAACGGCAGCGCCGGGAGAAGACGTGGAGAAGGAAGGACAGGGGAAACAGGGAGGGAAAGAGGGTGGGAATGTTGGGTTGTCGGTGCATTGTTGTCATTCCTGTATTCGCTTCTGGCTTCTCGTTAAATCCCTTCACCATCAGGTCCCCAGGAGCTGCTGTGGCTTTTACCAAAACTGACCCAGCAGCACCTCTACCGCTGCTGCGTGCAAAGCCTGTCTGTCATGCGAGTGCTGCTGATTGACAGGCTCCTTGTTTACCTTGTAAGGATTTGAGGCGCCCTTCACCATTTCAGCATATTTCTTCAGTCTTAAGCCTGAGTCACGTCGCAGAGACATGAAGGAAAACAGAGTCTATAGATGGACATAAATGCTGAACCATGAGGGAGAGGAAGAGTTCATCTGGCATACTAATCCTGTTCTTGTCAGCCAATAGCTCTCTGTCTGACTTTACTAGGTCCCCCCCCCACCCTAGATTACTGCTATTGTGATGGATGGATCAAGCTGTGCCAATTATTTTCTCCTGTGACTTCACACGCTGCAGCGGCATTCAGAGAAAGGGCTCAGGGTAGGACCATGTCCCATTGATCGAGGAGCAGCTTTATCTAAAACTCATCTCCTGCACCGGAGGAGGTGGGCGCGGGGGGGAGAGTGGCTGCCGCCAACGTTCCCTGATTTCGCTCGACAGCAGATAAGTTTATAAATATCAGCTGCTGTCCACAGGAAAAAGGAGAATTTCCTCTTGCGGCTGCCTTATCAAGGCAATCTCCCTCGCAGCTCTACCTCACACACAACTGGCTTTTCTTTCTCCGGCGTCTTTTCTTTTTTTTTTTTGTTTGCCTAGACACCGATAATGCCAGTCCATTCAGCTCTGTCCGAGGTACTGTTTGACATGCATCCAATTAGAAAGCATTTAAGATGTTACTGACAACTTTGGATTCTTTTTTTTCCATGCAAAGTTCAATTAGGCCACAGATGTTTAGGTTGTAGTTCAAACAGATCTTCACAGATCTCCTTATAGACTCAAACCGTGTGGAGACAAGGAGCTAAGTTCATATGACTATTAAGAGATTTTTCACCACCAGAAGGTGACCCTGGGAGCCCTTTTGCTGCCTCCACCCAGGGCAAAGGGCAGACTATAATCATTTCTCCAGATTTAGTAACCCTCTGCAGAGACTTCTTATTAGCAGTAGAGCAGGTTGAGGGGACATGTTTTACTGCCTGCTAAACGTGCACCAGTAGCTTCTTCTCCAGTCGGTTCTCCACAGGAAACATTTTTGCTAAGATCCTTGAAGAAATGTGTCCCCAGGAACCTGAAGGAGGTAACGTTTCTGACAGGGTGATAGTTGGGGCGACATTATGGCTAGTTTATGCTTGATGCTCAAAGCTTTACCGACACAGCGTCTGCAGCATTTTGTACTTTGTGCAGCTGTTCACTGCTGTATCCAGGGATCTGGTAGACTCTAGGGGGCAGTTTTGGTCACAGACCAAAAGTTTAGGCTATCAATCCTCAAGCAGAAATAGAAAAACAGCAGTTTCCTTATATTTTGTATGTTTTTTTTTTACTTATCCAAGAGTGTCTATAATATCTTTTTCCAGTAGCTGTTCGCAATCAGTTCATTGTTGTGATATATATGAGACAAATCCATGTTTATAGATGTTTACTTTTGCAAAGTCTGGTCAGCTGTAGCAGTCACTCAGTCCGCCATGTTTTTCCACCGGGAACTGTGGCCGTTCCTCAATATGTTCACTTGTGCGTTCTCGTGTACTTGTGAAACGTCATCGGCCTCAGCCATAGTACTGTTTACAAGAAGAAGTACCAATTTACAAGGACAGCAGGCTGAGAACGGCCCCTCCCTCTTTACCCAGCATGCATCAGAGCAGATTTGTCTGTTCTTGAGATCGACAGCTGTCCCAGCATGCACTGCTGCAACAGCAGCATTCAATGGAGCGCTCACAGAGCTCAGATTATTAAGTTAAAGGTTCTCTTTTCTGTTGCTGTTGTTCAATAAAAGTACATTTTAAGATCATTTGAGCCGAAAAAGTTATACTTTTAAGCGTCACTATATGGAGCATTTACTGATTTAATGCGTAATTTAAAAAAGAATTTCCACCTTTGAGATCACTGCAGCAAACAGTGGAGCTCCGTGGCTAACGGCAGCCAGGGCTAATCCCATCCCGTCTGCAGCAGCCCTTTCTCTGCATAGCCGTGTGTGAAGGACCGCTGGCTCTGATGGTGATTTTTTTGTCTTATTTGGCTAAATGTTGATTTGATTTGTGTTTATCTGACTGTGTTCATTATTATTCCCTCAATAAATGAAAAACCTAAGAATTTATTATTATCTAGAGACTATTAATAACAGGCGGTGAAATGCAGCTCCAGATGAGCTGAGCATGTGGTGATGTCATCAGTACGCTTCTGTTCCAATTGATCCATATTTATGCTGCGTGCTCCCAGAGTCCAGACTAGGCCCATTGCTGCTGCCTATATTTTGACCAGAATGACATTGGCTGTTCTTAAAGGTTAGAGACCTTTGGTTTAATCTGTATTCTGTCTTGGCCAGTAGCTTTGTGTCCATTGAAGGTCTTTAAGGCTCGCCTTACCTGTTGTTTTTACAGGTTGAGAGCTTGAGAACAATGTGTTCAATGAGATTTTAGAGCTGAAGGTGATCTAAATGAGTCAAAGCAGGTCTGGTTTATTCTTTCTGCTAGCAGGGCATAGCCTTTACCTGCACTCAGCAGGTTGCCCTTGTTGTTCATCAGGTGCAATATCTTCCATAGATTTTTGGTGTGCTTCTATTTTTTTGTTCTGAATTCGGTCTTTGTTTATTTGAGCAGTGACAGATGGCTGGACATGTCAAGGTGTGGGAGAGGCAGATTCTAGTATGGTTTTTTCTGGTTATATGTTTTAGAAGGTTATGGAGGACTAGCTCCAGAGCTTGCCGTATCTAAGAAGGAAACAGTTAAGAAAATGGGCTCAGAGCCACTTTTCAGGTCAAACAATGGTAAATTGTAAATGGCATGTACTTATATAGCGCCTTTATTAGACTTGACCAAAGCGCTTTACACTTAATTCATTCACCCATTCACGCACACACTCACACACTGATGGTGGCAAGCTACAGTGTAGCCACAGCTGCCCTGGGGCTCACTGACAGAAGCGGGGCTGCCGTACACTGGCGCCACCGGGCCCTCTGACCACCATCAGTAGACAATGAAGGTGAAGTGTCTTATCTTTGATTTTATTGACCACATGATTTTTATGTTGTTTATTTTTATCTTTGATTTTATTTACCACATGATTTTTATGTTGTTTATTTTTATCTTTGATTTTATTGACCACATGATTTTTATGGTTGATTTTTATCTTTGATTTTATTTGCACTGTGTAGCACTTTGAGATTTTTCGTAATGAAAAGTGCGGTACAAAATTGGATTTATTATTATTATTATTATTATTGCCCAAGGACACAACAACACTGAAAGTCGGAGTCGGGGCTTGAACCGTCAATCCTTCGATTTCAGGGCAAACTCCTACATCCAACGCCACTGTCGCCCTTATACAAAGGAACGAGAGCACATTGTTTCAGTAAAAGCCATCTCTAAGAGAGAAACAAGCCTAAGCACTACAAAACAAGCTTAACTCTATCATGTATAATCCAGGTTGTTGACGGCAGTAGCCAAGGTGATTCCTCTGTCCAGGATGGTGTCAAAGCTAAACACTCGGCCATATGCAGGTGCTGTTAAGAGAAAATGCAGATAGAACATAGAGTTAAAACTAGCCGTAAATAATGCAAAATTAGAGTTTAGAATTGGTTTATCTGTCAACTTCTTAACACCTGGATTGGTTGAACTTGACACCAATGTTTTAAGAAGGAAAACATTCATCATAATCTTTTAGTAGTTTTTAAACTTTTGGTTTGTTGGTCACAGAAATGAGGGATTGTTTGTCTTTCCTCAGAGAAGACTCTTTTCAAAGAGTTGTTAGTGCCTTAATTTCACAGCCCTGTTAGCGGCGCGCCCTCAGGCATCAGAAGGTCAGTCAGTCACTTGGTCATTTGAGAAGTCAGTCGGTCGTTTCTTCACATGGCCCAGGCGAAAGAAAAGGACATTTTCCAGAGAATGAGTCCAAGTGACCAGTCACCCTTTTCTTGGTCCCTTCTACATGGTGCAGAAAAAAAAAGATGCCAACATTGCCTCAATAATTTACACAGATTTTCAAGGTTCCTGCAGGTTCTGTCCCGTTAACTTTGGTGATT